GTTTCTCATACAATGTTTCCAGCTGCATTGCAGCTCTTTTGGGTGGTCAAGTTATTCTTACTGACCTACCGGATAGACTGAGGCTACTGAAGAAAAATGTAGAGGCTAATTTGTATGGAGATGTAAGAGGTTCTGCAACAGTGGATGAGCTCACATGGGGAGATGAGCTAGATCATGATATAAAGGATCCTTTGCCAGATTATGGTAATAATCTGAGATGGTCTCATTCCCTATAGCATTTTATTCACAATACATAATCAAATACCATATTCTTATATCTGCGGTTGTTTAGTTTCCCTTCACAATGTTGTCGCATATTGCTTTATATTGTTATTTTCTTTTCTTATAATTATCTTTTCTTTGTGGAGGAGGTGAACTAGAATTAGTTATATACTATTTAACTGTCTAACCACAGAAGTATTATTTTTCCAGAATTCTTGTCAATAATCCTTTTTTCATTTATAGATTAGAAGCCTTATCGAATGAAGGTTTTGTAGAACTTGAAGTTGTTGTTGTGTATATGACTGGCTTCTATTAAGTTGAGACATTTGCCAGCNCCCTTCACAATGTTGTCGCATATTGCTTTATATTGTTATTTTCTTTTCTTATAATTATCTTTTCTTTGTGGAGGAGGTGAACTAGAATTAGTTATATACTATTTAACTGTCTAACCACAGAAGTATTATTTTTCCAGAATTCTTGTCAATTATCCTTTTTTCATTTATAGATTAGAAGCCTTATCGAATGAAGGTTTTGTAGAACTTGAAGTTGTTGTGTATAAGACTGGCTTCTATTAAGTGGAGACATTTGCCAGCTTTAGTCTTTTAATATATTAGAGCAATCCTGAAAGGCAAAATGGGTAACATCCCCCCTTTGAAATCAATTTGTCCGTTGACCAGAGGTGAGTAGATCTATGTATGTAATCAATAGACTAAATATGGAGAAAATTACATCTTCAATAAGAGATATATGTCAATTGGCTACTTTTGTTTTATTTTTTCCTTTTTAAAAAAAAAAAAAATTGATAAGGATGTCAAGTGGCTGCATAACAACTACAAATGAATCAGTTTGTTTTGACCCTTGCTCCTGCTCTTAAGAAGCTTTCTTACAAAGTCCGACCAGAATCAAAACCTAATTTCATTTCTCCCTCACTTGAAAAGTTGCGGTGGGTGTATATGGGTTGTTATGCACTTTGCCATTCTGGAACCGTACCCGGGATTTCCAGGTATGAAGCTAACCACGGACGAACCTCCTCGCCCATTTCTAACTTTTCATTGTAAAGGGACTCATCTTCATCAATGAACCCCAAGTATTCATTCAGTTCCCTCCCGGTGAATACCACATATTTGTTTCTCACCTTGGTCACCTTAGTGACCTTCAAGATATGGGCCACATTGCTGTAAAATTCCTTGACCATATGCTTATTTGCCTTCAAACAATTATCTTTAAAGAACTCCCAACCCGCTCGAGCCTGAAACTATCTATGAACATTGGGGTGTAGGGGTGGAAGTTCTTTGTCAATGAAGCTTCTCTCAAGAATCAACTTCTGTAATGGCCACCATTCCCTAAACTTGTGGAACGCCACCTAGCTGACAAATCGATCTTCCCAAACTTCAGGTTTTCTAGTTCATTCAACACCCCCAACCTGGGGCACACCACTGTCCGGTACCTCATTATCACTATTCGTCCCACCTTCTACACTCTCCCCAGATACTGAAGCTGTGGGGGAGGTGGAGTATTCACCGCTGCCTGTTGTTGAGCCATCAGACAACTCAGACGGTACACGTTGTAGGGCTTGGGAAGTATGTGAAGCTGGGGCTGTAGGAGTTGGCCCTGAATCAGAAGAGATGTATTGAGAGGGTACGTACTCACTCCCCGATTGGTCATCTATAACAATTTGTTTCCTTGTTTTCATTTTAGGTCGGGGAGTGAGTTTAACTTGTTTTCCTTTTCTTCCCTGGGAGGNTCTGAGTTAGCAAGTAGGTATATATAGGTTGTTCGTGCTATCAGTTTTAGACCAGTCCAAAATTGCTGCTGAGCGTATATGGGTTGTTGATACTCTATGTTTTTTTTTTTAGAATTTGTTGGGCCTGATTAATTTTGCCTATTTATGAAACACTGTTGCCACCTAATCTTGCAAAGAAAATGGATGTTCTTACCTACAGCTTTACACCCTCTCACCGCTCCCTCTACCCATAGCAAAACATGGGACACCACCTCAATGTTTTCTACGTTGACATGCCAAAAGATTTTTTAGGGACCCTCAGGGTTTGGTGCAGAGGTAAGACTGCAGCATATGATGTGTGGGTTGAGCAGACGAGTTTGAACCCTGTCATGGATAAAAGTCTGTATTTAAGTGGAGAAGGATAGAGGGACTGATCCATTATCCACTTAGTTTCGAACTGCGAGCCAGCTAGCCCTAGGGGATTTCTCTGTTATTTAAAAAATATCACATACTCAGCGTGATAGCTCACATACCACCCCCTTTCTCTTCTTTCATGTTCCAAAGGCCAGGTAAATGATCTCTGGTCACTTGTCCAGTTTGCATATCCTTGATTTTAGTTTACTGTTTCATGTTCTGAATATATTTGTATTTCAGTACTTGGATCAGACGTGATTTATAGTGAGGGAGCTGTCATGGATTTGTTAGCAACACTTCTCAACCTCTCTGGTACTCAGACAACAGTTATTTTAGCTGGAGAACTCCGGAACGGTATAGACTCTGGATATTACTAAATCTCAGATGGTCTGGAGATAGATATATATCATGTGATTTTCTTGTGGCAGATGCTATCCTTGAGTACTTCTTACAAGCAGCTGCAGAGGATTTCACTATTGGCCGTGTAGATCAAAACCAGTGGCATCCAGATTGTTGCAGTCCTCGAGTGGTAATATATGTTTTGGTGAAGAAGTAGAGAAAAGAAAAGTAAGAATCAAGGCTGACAAAGAAATGGCACGAGCCATTAGAACATTGGAGACTCATTCACAAAATGGAACCAACGATATACCTGTGCTTCACATATGATCTGCTAAAGTGTTCTACTGGCTTTCTTTCTGTGTAATCCAGTTGTACCATTGGGTAGATAAACCAATGACCTAATTGTTTTTCCTCATTGACGATTTAGTGATTTTCAGTCATGTAAATGTCATGTCCATCTGTTAAATAGTGGGGCTTGTTATGCAAAGGTCTATGCATTTGGCTTTGGTTCATTCTCTTGTTAATGGTTGAATCATTTGAAGGTTGTGCTTGGAAATTATTAATATCTCTTATTTGGTATATTTGGCTAACTAGTTTCTTGGTTCTGTTTTCTTACTTTCTTTTGGGATCAACAGTGTTTTGTGGAAATTTCTTCATGTAGATTATATTTGCAGAGATGGAAATACTCAAAAAAAAACGTCTTAATTGGCAATAGCTAGAAAAAAAATAAAGGACTTGAACTAAACAAAGAAATAGTTTATCGGTTCAAATAAATTACTGGGCTATTTATTGGAACTCATTTGAATAGCTGCCAGCTAAAGGAATTTTTTAATCTTTTCATGCTTCGATGTCCAACAAAAAGTTAGCCATGGAATTTTTGATTGTTAGCATGATAAAGATGCTTCATTTTATTAACACTTCATCCTGTATTATCATTTTAGGATGTCATTTAAATCCTAAGATGATACTAGAATTTTTGACTCTTAGGTGTGTTTGGTATGACAGAAAATGTTTTCCTTCATACCAAACACACTCTTACACGTCCATATTTTACTCATGATTGTATCAGGTTAGAAGCCATGCAGGTACCCTGCCTGGTAGGGATTTATTTATAAAAAAACAAGTATATTTTTGGAACCAAAAAAGTACGCTATTGTGCAATTCTTAAAGTTAAGAACATAGTCAGATACAAGTCAAAAAAAAAAAAAAAAGCTCCCTTGGAACTATAGCTTGTATGACCAAGATTCTCCAAAGCCAAAAGCATTTTCTTTTTCTTTCAAAAAAGTACTTTTTTTTAAAATTAAAGTATTTGGCCAGATACTAATTGCTGCTCAAAAGTGATTTTTAAATTAATTAACTAAATACAAACCGCTTCTTACTAAAAGTAGTTTTGAAAAAAAGCATTTTAGAAAGAAAAAAATACTTGTCAAAATTAGTTTATTTTAGAAACTTATCCTAAGCACTTTTCATTTGTTTGACTTCACAAACCTTAGAAAATGCTCCACATCACCAAGCATGTTTACCAGGTTGTGCAAATTTTGATGCTCCAAGGCAAGAAATTACTGGTCGGGATAGTAGAAATTATTCGGAGAGAGCACATTCCCTTTTGGTAGCAAGAATGATGATGACAAATGGTTGTTGTTTGACCAAAAAGTATTAAACCCTTTTGTCAAACTAATTATCAGAGATATAGAAGGTAAATCTTAGCCAAACATAATTAATTTTAGATCCAAATATGATGAATACGAAAATCGAAGAAGAATAAGAACGTGTAATATTTCTTAATATAATTATTGTACATCGAATATGAATGATAGGCTTACATCTAAGACAGATTTGCACCATGATCATGGAAGTAAGGAAGGAGAAGAAATTATGGGGGACGAAGAGATTCCCCTTGTTGACTCTATTGTGATGGCTATCAAGAATCACCCCCCTTTCTCTAGGCTCAGCTCCCCCTATATATATTAGCAATTTTTCTTTTATCCAATGATCTTTGACCGGCGTACTTTCTTATGATTGTACCCTTTATCGCTCGCTCAAACATTACGCTTCTTCTGCGATGTAAGCTTTCCGACGATTTGACCCCGGCAGTGACCGAGATGCTCTTTGCTATCACGCCTCGAGGGCATGATTACGGCTTGGGCGACCCCTTGTCGTTCCCTTTAAGAACAACCATTCTATGATCAGATTTTGACCCATAGAGTTAGTCCTTCCGTCCACAACGGGTGGACTCTATCGATTCAATAATTAGGAGAAATTTAATAGCATTGAACGAGGTCCTTAAATCGAGGCGGCGACGTGATGCTTCAGTGGTATCATCGGACTGTTATGTCAGTTCGGAGCTGAATCGTTGCATCGATTCGAGATATCATGGATACCCATTATGCATCATTATGGCGCACGTTTCCCAAGAACCGTATCGTTTCCCGTGCCCTTTCAATTTTTTGATTGGCGGCTCTTGGGTTTCCCACTTAGGACATTCATGTTCCTATAAATAGGGGGAACCTATCATTCGATTGTTACACTTTTCGGTTTACCTGAGGAATTTTGCAAACTTCCACCCTCTTCAATATTTCATACTTTCGATTTCATACTTCTGCTTTCGTCTGAATTTGACGTGACCATCTTCTCTTTTCCTTCATCACTCTTGTTTATTTCAATCAAGTTAGTCAAATAGTTGGTACTCCTTCCCAGACCGACAAATTCGTCGAAGCTCCGGTGCTGGAAAATGAAGTACCTCCTCTTAGAGAGGGAGTGGAGGTGACGGAAGATGAGGGAGTTCCGATAATGGCTGAGATACTACCCTACCTGGGGAAATTATGGACTGATTTTAACAGCATCACCGGAGAAGAACCAGAACCTGTCCCTTCTACCATGGATAAAGTGGCGATTATGGCGCTCAAGACCAAGTGGGGAATTCCAAACCATATCGAAATGGCGCCGGCGACGGGAACGGACATTGTGCACTTGCACCGCCCGGGGTACTGCCCATTTTACGCGTATCCTTTTATTGTCGGATATATGTTTCCTCCCCCCTCTCTAGTGGTGGACTTCTGTCGTTTTTACGAAGTGTGCCCGGTTTAGCTTTCAACGTACGCATACAAGCTCTTCCTCATGCTTCTCAAGTATGTGGAGCTCGCCGGTCGAGGGATCACTTTGGGGCATATTCTTAATATTTTTGTCCCTCAATTTATTTTAGGCACGATGATCCACATGTGTCATCAAAGAACCAAGAGTTTGATGGTGAAGATGGATGATAAGGCTAATCACCGCTTCTAGGAAAGCTATTTTTATGTGCGGATAAAACACCTTATGGCGGACTCGGCGGGGTTCCTTGAGACGTGGAACTTCACACGTAAGTTTTCCTTTGTTTATTTTGCGATTCTAAGGCGATCGTCGACCGTTCTTCTTTAGATGGCATTGCTAATGACTTGTTTTCGCTTTCGTAGCCGAGAGATTGCCTCCCCTGCCAGTTGACGACATCCGTGAGTGGGTAAACGCCATTCTTCCCTATACAATGGGGGTTTGCGTGTGGGCGTCCTTCTATGAGAGATATAGGCGTAAGCCTCTCACTGGTGAGTGAGCCCATTGCAGTTCTTTGTTCTTTGCCTTATAGTTTGATTTTGTCGTTGTATGACCGTATTTCATTACTGACAGGGAGGGTGCGAAGGACGAGGGCTCCTCTGCTTGCGTTGCGTCAACCAGCGCCTTCTATTCATCCTACGCTGAGGGCTACTGCATGTCCTGTATCAAGAACTACTCAGCCTGCACCTATGGCCGAAGCTGCATGTTCGGAGATTACTCCCCCCTGCACCCTGTCCAGTCGACGAATCTTCTCGCGTAAGTAGTAAGGAGGACCCACCGAAGAGACGAAGGGTGGTGTTGAAAGAGGTTTCCCCGGCCGATACTTCTTTGAGGGGTACCCTTACCCTGGCGTTGATAGAAATCAGAGATGATGTCAGCCCTGCTGTGGACACAGCACCTGTTGTGAGTGGTCAATAGGCTGATGTGGTGGAGAGACGGAGTCCCAGGATTTCAATTACTATCTTGGGCGGCCCTTCGTCTTCCTGGCCGAACCGCACTTCTTCTTTGGCCAAAGAGGGGGGGAAAGGCATCATGGTGGACGATTACGAGTTTGAATCTGACCTCGATCCTAACTATGTTAGGATGTTCGAGGAGGGCTTTACGCGAACTGTGGTAAGAGCGAGAGGTCCTTCCCGAATACTCGAAATCCCGTCGAATCTCAACCTTCTGCAAGATACGGTGGATTTTGTGCCGCAGTTTGGCCTTCTATGCTCTGCCACAAAAAGCGGGTCTCTTCAGGAAGTTAGCGATGCCAAACTATCGCAAGGTGTGGCCGCGTTAGGCTTGAGGGTAAGTTTCTCTTCTTTGTTTGTTTTTTTACTTTGGCTCTTATCGACTCTCTTCTCCTTGCTATTTTTAGACTTACATGCTGGAGATAGAGAGTGCTTGCAGGGCCGAGACCCGGGCCAAGATTTTTCTGATGATGCTTGAAAAGTATCGGCGTTATCGCAAAAAATGTCGTGATATGCATGAGCGGCTCAGAGCGAGCACTGTCAATCAATCTCTCGGGGAGGAGTTGGAGAAAAGGGATAAGAAGCTGATGTAGTCCATTCGCATGTGTAGTGAGCTCGAGGAGCTACTTCATGCTAAGGACGAGGAACTTGAGTTGGGAAAGGGGGTCGCTATAGAGTGCGAGCATCTTTAGGACGAGGAACTTGAGTGCTGTTGTTGCAAGCCGAACTCGATCAGAATGCTGCCAGAGTTGAGGCTTTGAGTGTAGAATGTATGGGGGAAGTTAGCCGAGCTGGAGAGAAAAGTAGATGAGTTGGATAATGCCGAGAACCCTCGAGCATCAGCTTTATCAAGTGTGACGGCGTTGGAGGACACTATCCATATCCTTCAGTCTAAGCAGGAGTCCGAGATGGCAATGACCACACTAAGGGAGGCGAGGCTCGAAGAGCGCATCAACGAGATCGATTGGGAGGATTCGATCCTAGGCGACCGGGTCGTGGCACTTGAGGCTGAGAGGGCGTAGTTGTTAGCTCAAGTTGAATCTGTCTCTGCCGCTGTTCCTCGTCAATTGCATGAGCTTTGGGTCCATGCCGATGCCCAACGAGATATATACAAGGATTTTGGGAGACGAGCAATGTTTCTGAGGCTGCTTATGAAGAAGCCCGAGTGAAGGCACAAGAGACTCGTGTCAACTACGGCTACGACCCTGCGATATCGGAGGTCGGTGATGAGGCTGATGTTGAGGAGGAGTTTCTTGCGGACAATGATGGGGAGAACGACGGTGATGATGCCGAGTGAAAAGTTGTTACTGCTTTAGTATATATTATTTTTTTTGTTCATCTTTGTCTTTTTGTCGGGCTCGTTTTGGCCTTTTGTAAGGTGCGGCTATTGCGCACGTATATATAAATAAAGAAGTTGTTTCGCCTTTGTATATCCTTTGATTTTCTTTCCCTTCCCCTTGCTTGTTACATCTTTTTGTTTTGGCGTAGCTTCGGATTTTGTGTGGCGAGTCCCTAATTTTTCGATTTGGGAATCCGACCTTGACCGGATCGAGTAGGGTCTCGTTGCGTGAGTCCGAATGGAGCTTCTTCGGACTTGCACATTCGGGCGAGATTTATTTCTAATTTGTCTCTTTAGGCGGTATCATCCTTGATTCTAACAAGGTTGAATTCGGATCCGTCCTTTCGGTCAAAGCTATTTTTGACTCGAACATTCGAGTGGGACTAAGTTCAAACTTGCTGACTTAGGCAGAATTAATTTTTTAGTGTGTACTTGACCGGGGTTGAGTTTGGAACCGTCATCTAGAGCGAGGCCAATTTCTAACTTTATTTGAACGAGATCGAATTTGGAGTCGCTGTTTTGGGCAAAGTCAATTTTTGACTTATACTTGAATGACGCCAGCCTTTTCCTTTTATTTGACTGTAGCCGGCGGCCGTAAAAGGTGTTGTTCCAAACGAGGTTGGATTGTGACCTACTTGTTTTGACAATGGCCGGTGGCCGTAAAGGTGTTATTTTGTGGAAGATCAAAATAGTAACCTATTCGATTCGGTGATGGCCATCCGCTGTAAGGGTGTTATTTTGAACTAAGGTCGAAATGTTAACCCATTGTAATTCGAGCGAGGTCAAATTCTTCTTTTGGCGGTGGCCGTTGGCCGTACGGGTGTTATTTCGAGCTAAGGTCGAAATGTTAACCCGTTGTAATTCGAGCGAGGTCGAATTCTCCTTTTGGCGGTGGCCGTTGGCCGTAGGTGTGTTATTTAGAGCTAAGGTCGAAATGTTAACTTGTTGTAATTCGAGCGAGGTCGAATTCTTCTTTTGGCGGTGGCCATTGGCCGTAGGGGTGTTATTTCGAGCTAAGGTCAAAATATTAACCCGTTGTAATTCGAACGAGGTCGAATTATTCTTTTGGCGGTGTCCGTTGGCCATAAAGGTGTTATTTCGAGCTAAGGTCGAAATGTTAACCCGTTGTAATTCGAGCGAGGTCGAATTCTTCTTTTGGCGGTGGCAATTGGCCGTAGGGGTGTTATTTCACACTAAGGTCGAAATATTAACTCGTTGTCTCGGCTTTGTTTTTACTAGAGAATATTGGGTGTTCCCTGGGTGAGTCCCTATTTTGCTTAGCTTCTGCGTTTCCTAGGTGAGTCCCAGTTTGCTTTTGTGCGCTTGCATTGGAGAATACTATGCGTTTCCTAGGTGAGTCCCCGTTTGCTTTTGTGCGCTTCCTGGGTGAGTCCCAGTTTAGCTTAACTTCGCATGTATTGGAGGATATCTTGGTGGAGAGTACAAAATGTTGCTCTATTTCATTTACTAGAAAATGTTATACATGTTCGTTCCATGCATATATTGGAGAAGTTTCCATGTATCTAGTCCTTTCATCGCCCGGCCTGGGGAAGCAGTCAGCAGGCAGGGTGATGAATCATACTTGAACTTTGAGACGTCCCTTTCGTCACCTCGCCAGAAATCTCCCCGAGAAGACCCAATTAGGACAAAACCCGGGTGGGGGAAAAAGGGTACGACTTGAGGGGTGTCCTTTTTACGAAGTTGAAGTATTTGAGGTGGGCAACATTTTAATTGTTTTGTAGTAGCTTTCCTTCCATTGTTTCTAGTTGGAATGCTCCTTTGCTTGCCCATGCGAGTGCTCGCATTCCTGTTCGAACCAACACAAGAGTGAAGATAAACCAAAATGAAATTTTTCGTTACCTCGACCCAATGAGTCAGTGAAAGAAGGAGTGACATTGTAGTGTTACTCGCTTCTCTTGGTGCTCGAATGGTGGTTTCAGATTTAGCAGCCGTGTTCGGCTCCATCTTTAACAGCGTCTAGGCTTTGCATGGGTTGGATCCACCTCACTCGCTGAAGTGGTGAAATCGAGTCCTGGTCCGATCTCGTCCGATTTGTACCAACAACAAGGGAAACATGTCATACTTCGTTCATAGACCATCCAATGTGTGGGAGAATGTAAAAATAGGGCAGGATGTGCCAATTTTTTCAAAAGACCGCGCAATAAGCTGTCATCCCCTCCCAAGGGGTGGGAATGCGGGTCAATATATAAGGTAAATACGTCAAATGGGGCTATGGTCATGCCAGATGACCATAATCCTATTTTGATCGTGCGTACGTCGTGCCAAACCCATCGTTACAGGCGAGACATGGGTTTTGCATAGACATTGGTTATAACTTCTACTTTATGTAGCAGCCTGACCTAGTTTGGTACTGTTGTCTCGAAGGCTTACTTACCGCTCTTTCGAGTAGGTAGTGACATTTCGCCGGTTCTAGATCTAAAAGAAACTAAGAAATTTGGCTAAGAAATCCCCCCAAACGGTGCCAAATTGTTTGACCAAAAAGTATTAAACCCTTTTGTCAAACTAATTATCGAGATATAGAAGGTAAATCTTAGCCAAACATAATTAATTCTAGATCCAAATATGCTGAATACGGAAATCGAAGAAGAACAAGAATGTGTAATATTTCTTAATATAATTATTGTACTTCGAATATGAATGATAGGCTTACATCTAAGACATATTTGCACCATGATCATGGAAGTAAGGAAGGAGAAGAGAAGAAACTGTGGGTGACGAAGAGATTGTCCTTATTGACTCTATCGTAGAATCATCCCCCATTTCTCTTGGCTCAGCTCCCCTATATATATTAGCAATTTTCTTCATCGCTCGCTCAAACATTACGCTTGTTCTGCAATATAAGTTTTCCGACGGTTTGACCCCGACAGTGACCGAGATGCTCTTTGCTATCATGCCACATGGGCGTGATTACGACTTGGGCGACCCCTTGTCGTTCCCTTTAAGAACAACCATCCTATGATCAGATTTTAACCCATACAATTGTTAGTTATTTGTGTCACAATCCAGCTTCCTATGGGGAATGTGTATCGGCTGGGCAACTTGCCCTTAGGAAGTAAAACGCTTGTCTTTGACTAGGTATATATTAATATTCCGTTTGCTTTTACTTGTGTATTATATTAAAAATATATTTTTATTTTTACTTATTTATTTTAGCAAATCAAGAGAAAAAAATACTTTTTTTCCTATTCTACACTTATCATTAACTACTCATTTTTTAAATTATTTTTCAAATCTTTTTAAAATGCTATAATTATTATGAGTATTATGATAAAATATGTACTTCATATATTATTTATTAAGGGTAGTGCAAAGATCATTGTAAACAAGTAAAAGTGAAAGAGGGAATATACTAAACCATGTTAAATACCGTGATTGATTGATAAATTAAACTAAGATTACATAGTAATTAGCATGTAAGAATTATGATGAGGTATATATAATCCCGCCACTTTTAATTAAAGATCTTGTCTTTGAAAATAAAAAAATTATGATCGGCATTCGGGAGCACTTTTCCATTTAATAAGCATTTTAGGAATCTAAATATATATTTGGTATGTTGCACACACTTTTATTTCTAGACTAGACACCAAGATTCTCGAGAATTACATTCTAAAAGTTTAATCAATCAAACTAATACTTCTAATTTTTACACACTTCCTCCTCGTCACGACGGGCACATACACACTCTCTGTCTCCCTCAGAATACCCTGCCTTATATATCGTCTCCCCGAAGTTTTCCCGAGCTCTCTCTCTCCCACACACGCGCCATTTCAACAGCTGCTGTGGATTCCGTTTGTTTATTTCCCTTTTCTGGAGATCTTATCTTAAAAGCTAAACCAGAAACCGTGTAAGAAAATTATCCTTTCCTTTATGCTGATTTTTATCCTTTTTTTTATGGTTTTAAAAATGCTCATTTTCCCTTTCTGTTGTTCCTCTCTTTTTGGCGTGTGCAAAAATTCCTAGAAAAACCATTGAAAACATTGAATTCTAGGGCATATTCTTTCAAAATAGTACTAACATTTATGCTTTCTAAAACTCCAATCTTTATTTCACAATTTTCCATTTTGCAGGGTGCATTTTACAGGAGAATGATTATTGAAAAAATTGTGGATTACAGGGGTTTCTGCTAATTTTTAGTAACTTTTTTGGTAAATATTTGAATACCCATCTTTCAGTTATGTTGAAAAATGCAAGCTCTGTCTTGTGAGTTGTAATTTTCAACTTGAGGGTTTCTTGCTATTTGTATTCAAGATTGCATATTCGGAGCTATTATGTTTCAAGATTATTAAGTATGGATAAAGAGAAGTGTGTAGGGGGTTTATTGCCTCCATCAGGAAACTATTCGCTCTTTTTGCCTTCCGGGAGTAGTTATAGTGTAAAGTCTGAGCCATCTGGATCATCTAATTTACCTCCTTTAGGGCCTGTACCTGCTTCAGAACTAAAAGCAAACCAATTTAGTCATGATATTAGTCGAATGCCAGATAACCCACCTAAGAATTTGGGTCATCGACGTGCCCATTCGGAGATTCTTACACTTCCTGATGATATAAGTTTCGATAGTGATCTTGGTGTTGTTGGTGGACTGGATGGACCGTCTTTGTCTGATGAGACTGAGGAGGATTTCCTCTCTATGTATCTTGATATGGATAAATTTAACTCTTCATCTGCTACTTCTTCATTCCAAGTGGGTGAGTCATCTTCGGGCTCATTGCAAGCTCCAGCGATGGGTTTTACAGCTTCAAGGACTGACAATGTTACTGCCGCTGTTAGTGAAAAGCCAAGAGTCAGACATCAGCATAGTCAGTCCATGGATGGTTCAACTATAATCAAGCCGGAGATGCTTATGTCAGGAGGAGAAGATCCATCTTCAGCTGAGACTAAGAAAGCCATGTCCGCAGCAAAGCTTGCTGAGCTCGCTCTTATTGATCCGAAACGTGCGAAGAGGTAACTCCATCTGTTGCAACAACAACAACAACAACGACCCAGTATAATCCCACAAGAACTCCATCTGTTGCTCCTTTGTTTTTTGCTGTCTCTGACATTATTCACAATTTAACCAATATCAAAGCTTGAGCAACCATTTGGATTTGCTTCTATAATACTTTGTCATGCACGAGATGAAATCCTCGTTGGAGATTTGGCAACTGAAAATGGTGGAGGCGGGGGGAGCTAAAGCTGTGAACATCCTGATATGATCTGGTTATTATGCTGCGATGTAGTTTGTTAAATGAATACTTTCTGTATTTGTTGACTTTAATTAGTGTTTTATTGGTGGTGAGTTCATTTTAGTGATGTTTCGTTTTCAACTGTTTATTACCTCCAATCACTTTGCTCCTCGAACTTTTCTGATTTTTAGTATTTTGAAGCATTCGCTCTTCACTCTTTCTAAAGTCTTCGCCCAGGGCCTCTTCTGTCAACTTTTCGCTTTAATGGCTGAAAGATAAAAAAAATCCTATTAGCAGTTGAATTTAGACATGCTGTTCACAAGATTTACCTATAAGAAGTAAGAAGCCAAAAACAGTTGTTTGAAGCCCTTCATATTAGCTTATCTTGGCCTTCATTGATGGGAAGGATGTCAAGCTACTATTGTTAGCCCCCTATCGGTAATTTTGTTTGAGATAGATGCTGGGGTGCAAATTGCTTTATTTATGCTTCATTATTCTCGTCAGCACCCAATTCTATAAGACCGCGACATAGTACCTAGTGGGCTAATTGACCACGCGAATGTTGTGTTTCATACTAGCTAACATTACAACCTTGAGTATAGCTAGCTCTTGTGAGTGATATAAAGTACTATGATGGAGTTAACATATACAACTCCAGTCTTAAATCGAACTGAAATACACCCATTACCAAGCTCATGGAACATGACTGCAGATTTCAGACAACTGTCAAAAAAGGAAAGTCTGGATAACCCATAAAGGCACTCTGAATAAGAAGTGAGGTTCACCGTTCACCAACTTTAGAAGTAAAGAGTGAGTCTAATGATCCACTGAACAGATAATCTTCCTTAAACTATCGGGTCAAGAGTTAGATAGCCACGTGCAATGCCATACTGAAGCTGAAAACTAGTAATAGTAAATATATTCTGAAAGTATGGCATTGGAATTCCTTCCTTCAGAATATATTTACAGTTACTTGTTTTCAGCAGAGAGGACTTCCAATGCCAATACTATTAGAATTTTCTGAAGGGAGGACTTCCAATGCCATTTTCTGAAAGTGGGGTATCTGAAGTCCTCCCTCCAGTGTTCCTTGCTCTTTAGGTCCTTGTGTTGATATATCTTGGTCTCATCACTTGTCTCTAATGAATCTTTCAAGAATTTATCAAGAACAAATAAACCTGTGGTTCATTGTTAGATTTGTCCTAATTTTCTGCCTCTCAAAGATGAGGAATTTCGAGTCAATGTTATCCAAGTGTAAATAGTATTATATTAGAGTTTTATATTGCATGAACTAGGTAACAATAAATAGTGACTTATGAAATAGTAGGATTATTTGTCAAAAAATGAAAATTGTGCTGTTAGCTGCTTTAGTAGGATGAGATACATGGTTCGCCGGGCGGATCATCCCATTAGATGCATGTTGCTACCTTATATAATTGGGTTGTGACAAATATGGCATTAGAGCTTGTTTTGCAGTAAGATAGTGAGACAAAACCTCAGAATGGATACTGAGTCGCTAAGGGATATTTATATGACATCCATAATAGAGGGTGAACTGATGAGAGTGGGTCAAGTAAAGGACTGTCAGTCTTATAGGTTGGGAAGCTTTTGAAGGAGAGGTGCATATGACACCTTAGACAAACTCCAGTTTGAAAAGGGAAGTGATATATAAGATAGAGCACAAGTTCACACGGTATGCCCACATTTAGGCTCGAATCTCCAAGGGACAAATTCGTGAATTCTGTTGGACCGAAGCAGACGGTACACACCATAAGTTTAAGTTGTGACATTTTCTTAAGGGTTGGTTTAATGTTTGGCTTGTTTGCCAAAGGAAATGTGCGCTTTTTTCTTTCCTCGTCTCCTGCTCTTCCTTTTTATGATGGTGGGGGAACAGGGCACTGGATTTGGGTGGGAAGGAGGCGGATGGGATACAAACTCGGTCTGTTTCCTTTCCCCGTATGTAATTACTTCAGATGTTTCTGAGGTTAATTGAAAACTATCACTCTTTGTATTCAACATTCAATTTCTCCAGTCTTGCTTTCTTTTGGATATCAATACTTGTTTATAGAGTAATAAAAGGAGGTCAAGAGAGGGGTATGAGTTTCTCAGGCTTTGTTTTTCTTTCAAAATGTTATGAATGTGCTCTATATTGCGTAATATGGCACTGACTATTCGGAAGTCATGTTAGCAGTGTTATCAAAGGCGCGCTTAAGCCCTATAGTGAGGCTCAAAACATATTGAGCGCTTCGTTTCGCTTAGCGGGCGCTTTAGTGTTGTCATCAAGGGACCAAAACATACTTTTCCATGCCAATGAGTGTAATCCTGAAGAGGAGACACCAAACAATTGATATTTCACTTTATCATAAAGTTTCTTCAATTTATTTGTCCATGTATTTGGTATTCATGCTTATAGATATTAGTCTTGGACAACACAAACACATTTGTAATTTTTCTCAATTTGCACCTTTCTTCATTAAAGCTCACGCTTTATTTGCGCTTTGTGCTTAAAGCCCCAAAAGACCTTAGAGCTTTTTTTGCGCTTGCCTTTGATAACACTGCATGTTAGGAAACTGTAGCTATTTGGAAGTTCTATTAGGTTATATGCATTCCTTTCCCGAATAACATTGTGTTCTTTTAATATTAGTTATATAGGCAGGTGTGGCTCTGGTGCTCATTTTTAAGTTGCATTGTTGGAAGTTAGTCTGAAAGCTGATTGTTCGGATGGCTTAAAATTCTGAAAAGTTTTTTGTGTGGTAAGCAAAATATCTTGTATTATGAAATATTACACCATTGCTATTTTAGATAGGTACTACACCATTGTTCTTCTGGATCATTTATCCTTTCCTTATCTACCGAGAAAAAAAGGTGTCCTCCCTTTCCAGGGTGATCCGTTTTTTCCTTTTACTGCGTGTAGTAAAAGTTATTAATCCTGGTTTTCTTAACTTCCTCCGCCATCTGACTTATGCCTTCTTCCTCCCAAGGTCTCAAATTTGGTGTCCAACAAGCTCTTAAAAGTGACTGAGGATTCTAAACATCTGCATTTGATGTCTTAATTCTATTTAGTTTAACGGGAAATTTTTTTGTTTGCTTGTTGAAGTATTTTTTAATGCTTTAAGTCGTCCAATGCTTTGAAGTCTCTCTCTCACTCTCTCTCACACACACACTTACTCTCATTTTGAAAATTGTCTGGCATGGTTCAAAATTCAAGTAAATTTAATACTCAAACAAATGTCCTACTACTGCTGCATTCTCACATTCTTGTCTGTGCTTCACTATACAGAATTTGGGCAAACAGGCAGTCAGCTGCCAGATCAAAGGAAAGGAAGATGAGATATATAGCAGAGCTCGAGAGGAGAGTGCAAGCTCTGCAAACAGAAGCGACTTCTTTGTCTGCTCAGTTGACCCTGTTGCAGGTATACATCAGAGCTTTCACAGCTATGCAGTTCCTTTTTTTTTTTAAAACTTGTATTGCATTCTTTTCATGGACATGGTTGAAGAGATGGAAGTAAGTAAATCCTTGTTTTCTTGGTCTTGTATATGCATAGCATATGAATGTATATACATAAATACATATATAAATGCATATTCAACTTCTTCTATTTCTCTAATGTGCAATACGCACATATAAAAAGCTAGGTTTTGATATATCTGCTATTGTTTTCCATATGGAACAGAGAGATACAAATGGTCTGAGTGCTGAAAACAATGAACTTAAATTGCGCTTGCAGACAATGGAACAACAGGTGCACTTGCAAGATGGTAAGAAACTAAACATGACTTCGTCTTCTCTCTCAGAAAACTGACTAGTTTCTTCATCTCTTACTCCGGATGTCAGATAGTTCTCCCCTTTCTTCCCGCCTCCTGATTTTGCTGGAAAATGTGCCGTTTCATCAACATCCCCTTTGAATCTATATAGTTCAGATAATTCATGCTGATTCAAATAGGATTACTATTTGGATCTGATAAGTATTATGGCGTGCTTTGTTTTCAAGTATACTTTAATTTTAGGAAAAAGTTAAGTGAAATCAAAGTTGAAATACTTCTTCAGCTTCACATTGCATGTTTGATTGACTTTTCTGGTTAAACTAATGCAGTAGTTCCGTAAGTGCTCTTCATCTTTGTTGTCCATAAGCGCAGGATCCAAAACTGGTTGACCCTAATATTGAACAGTTCTTGCAATTAAAATATCGATAATAATTCGTAGTGAAGTCTGCGAATTCTAATAGTTAGGTTGTGGAGGTTCGGATGCATGCCGATAATTTAAAGTGGATTCTTTTAGATATAATGTTTTGGTTTTGAAGGTTTGGTTATTTCAGATATTTTTTTTTTGAATTGGTAACTATTGCATATATTAAAAACATCAGTACATAGGTTGCACTGAAAACCAAATTTACATGAAGAGGATTAGTAGATGTTCTAATTCGAGACCTAGCAAGATCCTAGTACGTCTATGATTGTCAATATATCTTCTATGTAAATTTGTTTGCACCAAAAACAAAAAAGAAGAATACAATTGAGTTTGATCTTCTGCACTGGATTGCTTCTATCTTCAAAACATCTAGCGTTCCTTTCCCTCCAAACTGTCCACCAGATACAAGCCGGGATAGTCCTCCATCTATCTCTACTAGTTGCTTCAGCTCCAGCTTCTTCCCAGCTATAAAG